GGGGGCGGCCGATCGCTGGGAAACTCAAAACGAGTGATCAGAGTCCCCGTGTGTGCGGATTGATCCTACTTATATACTTGGTCCCAGAACTCATTGAAGCTTTAAAGATTCAGGTCAAATGGAGGGTTCACTGCAATGGGAATTAGCGACTTGGCTCTAGAGGCGAACCCCATTTATGGGAAGACGGTCAAGGGTTGAAGTGAATGGTGGGTTACAGCGTAAGTGGGCCCAGTGGCACTGAAAGCGAGACCGAGACAAGTATCCTTCTCTGAAGGATATATAATATTGGTCACTGAGAGATTCGTAGACTTCGTTCGCTTCTTGTCTTATCGACTCACGCGCAAATGGCCTTTCTTGCAATTTCGTGGCCTATGAGCGAGTGATTATGGCTTGTGTCGATTGCTTTTCCGGCTCAATCTGGTCAGCAGAACCTGTAGGTACCACCGCTACGATACACGGTGTTCGTACATACGTCACAGGCCTCTCACCATCACAAAAACCCAGCACCACCATCGTTTTCATCACAGATGCATTCGGCTTGAATCTTGTGAATAGCAAGTTGCTAGCTGATGCCTATGGAACTGCAACCGGTTTTCGGGTCCTCGTACCAGACATCATTCCAGGCGGTGGTGTGCCGGTAGATTCATTGAGCCTCATGAACTCTGTGCGAGCCCCCGTCTCTTGGTGGAACATTTGGGGTCATCTAAAGCGGGTCGCCAACATCATTCGTATGATGAGCATCTTTATACCATTCGCAAGGCGTACCAAGAACACATTTCCTAGCATACTCGCCTACACCCGCGCGGTTCGCTCCGAGCTATCTGCTGCTGGCAAATTGGGCGTAGCCGGCTTCTGTTGGGGGGCAATGCAGAGCGTGCAGTTGTGTGCAGAACCGGCTATCGAGGGCGGCAGTGAACCTCTCGTGGATGCCCACTTCGCCGCTCACCCGTCCGGCCTGAAGGCCACTGATCTCGTCCGCTACTCTCGGCGGTTCGTTGTGCCGTTTTCTTTGGCACTTGGCGACGAGGATTTCATATTCTCAAAGGATGTTGCTGCCAACCTCGAGGTTGGTCTCCGGGAGATCTACTCAGAAGAGCCGTCTCATTTCGAAGCTAGGATGTATACTGGATGCGGACATGGATTTGCAGTCCGCGCAGACCGGGAAAAGACGAACGAGGATAAGGCGGCCAACGAAGCTGCCAGTCAAGCAGCTGAGTGGTTTCAGAAGTTTCTGGCATAAAGCTATGAGTTCTCAGGCGGAGAATTATCACTTAAGCCCGATATACAATGTAACTTTCGCTGTCATCAAATACCTAGCCTACTTTGTGATCTCGCTTACCGCATCACTGGTACTCCTCATCAGGCTTTCGAAAAAAGCCATGTCAACACCCTGAAAGGCCCAGTCTTCTCCGCCAGCTGCTATTTCGTGATAGCCCCCACACTGCAGCATAGGCTCATACAATCCGGTTCCGGAAGATAAATAAATCTCGCCTGGAGTGGGATCTGACGATACTCTCAAACTCGGCTGAGTTGCCTCATATCCAAGTGCTGCTTTTTGAGTTGGATTTGACGCTACTTCGGCACGATGGTCATCCATGCTGTTTCTTGTCGTATTCTCTGGAATAGAAAGCCCAGCAGGTTCAACATCCCCAGAAAGATTTTGGTACAAGTCTACTGAAGTAGGCCCGGGGTTTGTCGTATCATTTCTGCGCATAGCTTGCGACTGAGTTGGACGATGAAGCTGTGTAGTAACTACTTCTGCATGCACCTTTCGTCCCATGCCTTCACGAAGTATCTTGATAAAGCCAAAGTAAGGAACATGTACGCTCGCAATTAAATCGGAATCTGGAGCCGACTTATTCTCTGCTGGCTGGACACGCACTCTCCCAGGACTCGGCGCCGAACCATCGGGTGCTTCAACATCGAGAGCTAGCAACTTACGGAGCAGGTCGGCACTCTGCGCGCTGAGTGCATCTGAACTGAGGCGGTTCACTTCCATCATATTTTTCTGAGCCTGTTCGATCATAGCACGATCACTATGATATTGGTGAGCTAGCAGGCTCTCCGTTTCCGAAGGATTGCTGGTCAAGTGAGCCAAGAGTAAGGTCATGGCGGACATGAGGGCAAGAAAATCGACGGTACGACAACTATAGGCTAACTTGTTGAAGCTGCGTAATGCAATGAAGCGTGAGAGAACTTCCCGTGATGCGTTGACACAAGTAATCCGCGAGTACTCGTGTTTATGCCCCACCGACTTGTAGTGGAGCATGTATGGCAGATGGAGCTGATTTAGGAGATTGTAATGAAACACCTGTGATATGAGACGACGTGTGTCCCAATAGAGACTTTGGGAGTCGGTCTCTCTGCTATCCAGATTTGGTGCTAGCCACCACGTACTTGGGACAACTCTAGCGGCTTTCTGTAGTTCCATATCAAGGGCTCGCGTCAGGGCAAGATCATCAGCGCTCAGATTGGAATCATTCCGTTCTAAGATGCGTGAAGCAATCACGCAATGTATGCGATCCAGTCGTTCCATAGGGGTATCATTTGCGAGCAAAGTATCTGATGCCATGCTGCGGTCGAGGCAGCCCTGGGAAACGCCTAAAAGCAGACAGAGATAGCGGTCCAGGAAATTGATTCGGAACCACATAAACTGCGGGTCAAACTTCGTTTTCGGGTCAAGCACCTTAAACTGTGCCCGATTATCCAATCGGTTGAGTCCCATCAGTTGTGCGATACCAAGGGCTCTTCTCCCTGTGACCCAGCTTCGCCGAAGATTGCCAAGATTTGCTTGATACAGGCCCTCAATCATTATGCACTCAAGACCTTCGATGCTCCCAAGAAGCTCGTCATTCGTTATAACGAGACGAGTGGCGAGATTCGCCAATCGTTCCATCAGGCTTCGCGGGAGCTCTGACAAACCACCGACCTCATCATGGATGTTAGGAGGTAGATATTGTAGGAAGACGGCGAGTTGTATCATGTACAGCGCTATCAGGACTGGATGTGAGTCCTTGTCAGGAATGTCCAGCAGACTTTCAGAAGTCTTCAACCCCTTCTGGTCGAGGATAGTAAAGGGCACAGTCAATGCTTCATGAGCAAGGACACAAGTGTGACGTTGAGTTTTACACAGCTTCTCCAAATCGTGATGGGAAGGTAGAGCTTCGTGCAAAAATCTGGACAGGCCATTATAATTATCATGTGAGGCTGGCACATCAACATCCAGTCCTAACCTGGGCGGACCAGCCCGGCTAGTATCAGTGTTATGTTCAAGTGTGTGACTCTGATCAGGAGTCAGTTAATTAGCAAACGGCCTGGTTGCCGGAGACGAACCTTGAACGACTCGTAGTAATCAAGATAGTGGGGATGCCTCGAATCAGTTGATAGAGGCGTCAGAATCCCCTCACTCATCTGTATATTATCCTCACTAGGTTTGTCATTGATACCAGAATTTGGGACGCCGATGTTGATTTTCTGCAGCCCTCCTGCCCTAACAGAACGGCTCATTTCCTCGGGATACTCTTGACTAATACATTCTGATCCTCGCCGGCGACAGGGGCTGCAGAGAGTGTTGCTTGTCGAATCGAAGATACATTTCATCTTCCGCCGCTTGCATTCCCAACAACTAAAGGTTCCTTTACGGACCTTTCTCCGTCTGGCCTCTAATTGAGTGGGCTTGTGTAACAACGATGCCATTGGAGGGCTGTTCTCAAACATGTTTTGAATAGAACCCATCTGCGAGGGACTAACATCATCCGTGCGATTTTGTCCGCGTGCAATCAGCGTGGCGGGTCAATAAGTGGTGCAAACCGCAAAGTGAAGAGTTGGCTGAGAATTTCCCGGCGTAGTTGAGAAAGACCGGCGGTCGAAGAGTCCTTTTAGCTCTTCATATTCGGCCGTGAGTGGAGATGGTATTTCGGGAGTACGGTCGACGATAGATGACAATTTGCTAATCTGCGGGCGCCTTTTGACATGCTATTGGCTGTCGTCGACCGCAATCTTCGGACCCACTCACGGTCGAACGAAGATATAACGGCGGTCGAAAGCCTGATATTGGAGGAACTTCATATTAGATGTAAGGGACTAGGTGTGTAGAGCGGAATGGAGTGATGATTATGAAATCTGATGACTGATCGAATATGGGTAGATTAAACACGGCGGACGGTTTTTTTTTTTTGGTGTTTTTTCAGTTGAAAGTAGTTCATCTATTACGTGTTTTCATCTTTCTGACCTGTGTGGCGTTAAGTATATAAACCGCGCTTTCGGGTCTTTAACTTCATCTGTTTGAACCCGCTCTAGATGTATGACATCGACCCGACAATATAACATTGCATTCCGAATACCAGATCATCTGGAAAGCAAGTAACCAAAAATGGGCGAAAATTACCGGGGAGACCTGACCACCAATGACCAGAATTCTGGTGCAGACAGCGTCCAAGACAAACAGCATGGGATTCATGTACCGAATAGTGAGAACCCCGAGTACGTAACGGGTCTGCGTTTGTTTCTCATTATGTTTACCATCTTCATGAGTACACTTCTTGCAGCTTTGGAAATCGGCATAATAGCTACTGCGATACCCGACATCACCGACGAATTCCACAGGCTTGATCATGTCGGATGGTATGCGAGCGCAACTTTCCTCGTCTCCGGCGCGTCCTCACCTATGTGGGGCAAAGTATATAAATATTTGAATGTCACATACGCTTATACTGCCTCGATCGTCTTATACCTAGTTGGGAGCGTTGTGGCAGCAGCGGCGCCGAACAGTATAGCTGTGATTGTTGGCAGAGCCATACAGGGGCTGGGAGGCTCTGGTACACTCGGTGGTTCCGTTCTTATCATCAATTATGTGGCCCAGCCTAGAAGACGTCCAGTCCTTATTGGTCTCTGGATGGCGATCTTTATGGTATCGACTATTCTCGGGCCAATCATCGGCGGCGCCTTCACAAGCGGAGTTTCCTGGAGATGGTGTTTCTGGATCAACCTGCCTCTCGGAGGTCTTACCTTGATCCTGTCACTGCTTTTCTTGAGAGTTCCAAGCCATATTAAACCTGTCCCAGCCAAATGGGAACAGATCATTCTCCAACTTGATCTACCGGGATTTCTCGTCCTACTTACGTCCCTGGTATGCTTCACGTTGGCTCTTCAATGGGGTGGACAGACTAAGGCTTGGAATGCAGGACCGGTAATTGCTACTTTAATAATGTGGGTTATTTTGACCGTCATATTTTTCATGATTGAAGGAATTCAAGGAGCATATGCCATGATCCCTCTTAAGATTTTGAGACCGCGAATGACATGGTCTAATGCTCTATATTGCTTCATGTAAGTGTTTGGATGTATCTCTGAGACCTGTACGGCAGTGCTAACTCAGAATCCCTATCAAGCTCTAATTCGACGTTGTTTGAGGTCATGTTTTACCTGCCGATTTACTTCCAGTCTATTCAAGGCCAGTCAGCTATTACAAGTGGTGTTAGCACTCTTCCATTTTTGGCTTTCTTCGCTCTAGGGGCTCTCGTCAGCGGTTTTGTGATAGGGAAAACACGTCACTTGCAACCTTACCAGCTAGTCAGTGCGCTTTTAATGACTGCCGGTTTAGCATTGTTCTATACAATGAATACAGACTCATCTCAAGCTCGATACATGGGTCCTGAAGTCCTTTTCGGCTTTGGACTTGGTCTTGGCAACCAAATATCCATGACAGCGGTTCAGGGGTTTTCCAAGCCCGAAGATGTAGCAAACTCCACTGGTATTATGCTTAGTAGGTGTCCTAAGAAAACGTACTCATACGGTTGTGACTTTCCAATTAACCTTGACTTCAGTGTGCCAAGCTATAAGTGGTGCTTACTTCGTTGCGGCCGCGCAGTCCCTATTTGCAAACCTCCTACTACATACACTCGCACAAACCGCTTCAAATATCGATGCTGTCCAGGTCATAAACACTGGTGCAACAGAAATCCAGCATGTCTTCAATGGCGATGACCTTGACGCCGTGCTCAAAGCTTACATGATTGGGATCAAGGACGTTTTCGCTTTCGCTCTAGCCGGTGGTGCACTCGCTGTTCTCTTGGCCCTAATGATACCATTGAGAAGACTTCCTGACCATGGTAACAAAGAAACACAGGCAAAGGCATGAACTTCGGGAGGGTCTGTAACATGATCAAAGCCCAAGACTTAGTCTCCTGGATTCATTAAGTCAAACTCAGCATAGACCTGATTGCAAATTTGACAGAGAAAGAATTTCAAGAAACCAGAAACTGCGGTCATTGAATAAACTCCACTGAGCTGCATGAATCCTATCTTGAATTTATCAGGGACACATAGTAACTCAGTCAGCAACTTCTCGAATCGTCAATTTGTGGTAGTGCTATGAGGGAAATCCAGATGGTGTGGGCGTGATCATTGAACCATTTTATAACGCTTTTCATGAATAGATACGTGACTATAACGTCTCCCTTTTCGATTCCTGATCTTGTCAATTACACCAATGGTGCTTCCCCATCGACATGATTGACATCCAACCTTGGCCTTGTTAATGCGCCAGGCAGGATTTTGATCAGGTAAGCTAGTCAGCATGCATGTGGGCCAAATCCTTGTGATCTTGACCGTGCAATTGCAGCGCCGCACCAGTGTCGACTACTTCAATTCATGTGAGTCACACGGCGTTGCGTAACCTTCTCGATGCGCCGAGCCAACATTGAAGACAGCGCTTGATTTCATTGCACACAACGGCGAAGTCGTATATTCATCGGCAAACAGGATGGCGACTGCTACCGAGTTTTGTTTTGCCGTAAAGGAGCTGGCAAACTCCAAGGTGAAGCTAGTACCATTTGATGTGAGCCAATTAACTCCGCCGCTCGATCACATTCATCGCTGATTCTGAAGGATGACCGGCACACGCCGCGCTTCATGGAACTTTCTTCTGGTCATCCGGAGATTTGGGCGCACATGCCAGGTGGTCCTTTTGCATCAGTAGATAACTTCCGCTCTGAATTTATCAATGGCTTCTGCACGCCCGTAGGCGTGTTTTCCTACGCAATTCTCGACCTTACGAAGTCGTCCCAGGATGGAAGCGAGGAGGATGCCTTCGCCGGCATGATATCATATATGAATTCTTCGCCAATCAACTTGTGCACAGAGATCGGCGCCGTCGTCGTTCTGCCGCCCTTCCAGAGGACACATGTGGCGAGCAACGCTGTTGGACTAATGATACACCACGCCTTCAGGTCCGAAGCAGAAGGAGGGCTAGGCCTCACCCGCGTGGTCTGGCAAACAAGCTCGGCAAATAAAGGATCAGCAAAGGTTGCAGAGAGGATGGGATTCAAGCACGAGGGCACACTCAAGTACGATCGTCGCTTCAAACAGGGCAAGCTTCATTCTAAGGTAGGAAACGGAAGACCATTGCCCCCTGGAAGTGATGAGAACGATCTTTGGCGGGATACACTGGTCTTCGGCCTTTGCTGGGATGATTGGGAAAGAGGTGCGAGGGAGAAGGTACAAGCAGCCATGGATCGTACTAAGTGATTTGCACGACGTTATGGAGGGCAGCCGTATGAGAAAAACAAAAGGAGCTTTGAAAAGATGACCGCAGAGAAGAATAAAGATAAGGAACAGTTTCATAAGAAGTGCAGAATTATGCGAGCAATGAAGTGAATCCTTTAAACCAGTATACACCGATAAGCTTGAGATTTTTCAGTTGTCTCTTATACAAGAGATAGATCTTGTTATAGATTTTACACTATTATCTTTAACGAAACGATGCAAGCGATATCACCCACAAATCGTGTACTCCAGAGAAATCGTATAGTTGATAGGTTCTAAACATAGATGATGGCATTTAATCGGATAAGACGGGGCATGGTATGTCGTAGCAGAATTGTGTTCGTTAACAAGTTGAGACTGTAAGCCGTGCAGTTGGGGGCGTCCCCAAGTCTTTGGTAAGAATGTGTATCCATCATTGATTGGCTGAAGATTTGTGGCGTCGTAGCGTAAGCCCTCTATGGCGTTTCAAGGGATGGTATTTTTAGAGTTTCAGATGACTTCCCGTATAAAATGCTCGACATCTTCCAAAACCCTATTACATCCTCAATGAGACGGAACCGAATAGATACAAGCCAGACATGCAACAGCAAAATTAGTGGTGTCGCCTAAAACAGCATCATGTTATGCCAAAACAGACCGGAAGGACTTGTGAGTGTCTCAACCCCACTGCGGCCAATGTATTCACGCTGCTGACACAATGCCATAGAGCACCTCTTCGGCAATCTCATCACCCTTGCCAACGCAGTGCTTCTTTGACACAATTCTTGTCCCTTTACCAACTTGGATCTTCTTGGTCTTGGTTCTCCTCTCACCTTTGCTTATTCGCAAACCATCAGCGGTCGTTGGAGCGTCTCGTCGCTGGGTTCGCCTCTCGGCGCTTAGTGTCTATTTCTTCTGCATCGCCGTCATCGTGCTCATGGAAACCATCGAGGTAGCACGTCTTGTACGAGCAGACCTTGGTGTTGGTCTTGTGCCATTTGTCTACGTCGGCTGTCTTATCGCGACCTCACTTCAAGCAACAGACGCCTTATGGGGGAGGCTCAGAGGGTGGCAGGTTTCAGGCACACTATTCTGGCTCTTGAGCTTCTGCATTACAACAGTCAAGGCTGTCGCCGTAGGGAGATTCGGGACCAAAGGGCCATTGGCCCGCAAGGGTTCGAAGTATCCGGTCGAGGACCAGCTGACCGACCTCATTGTCCTCGTTATTTTCTACGCAATTTTGGTCGCGATGCAAATCATACTAGTCTATGTAAAGCCAGCACGCAGAGTATCAGGAATTATCCAGGATGACGAGGTTGAGTTGAAGTGAAGATTTAATCCATCTCATACATAGGGGAAGGCGGTACTCTTAGAGTCATCTGTCCTAGATAGGTATCAAGCTAGCTAGTTGTGAGATGAAGATGTATTTCTGCCGAGAGGCTTCATTTCGACCGCACCGGCGTATAGGTTCAAGCAGTAGATAATTTCTCCTACTACCTTCAGAGCGTCTTCGAACGCATGCGACTGCGGATGGTAGACATTGCTATCACGAACCTCGACATTATGGAGGACACATGGCGAAATGATGCCAGCACTACTGAAGATAACATCAGGACTGCCATACTGCCCTGAGGAACCGGGCGCAGAATACCCGTGTAGATGAAATTGGCTTTTGGGATCCCGTCTAGGCAGAGAATGTAAATAGCAAGATCTGCTCACGATAAGTCAAATGAGGCAGATCAAGATTTGTCAGCCCTTGATAAAGCACATAAGGGGCATCTACCAAATACTTTTCGACATCGCATTGCATAGGAAAAAGCCAAGCCCAGCGTGAATGTACGACGGATCAATAAACATCGAGCGAGTGATTCACGCCCGACTGAATTTATATTCTTGAGCCTGCTTTGCGCGATCTGCTCGCCTTATCTCGTTTTCTGTCTTTGCAAGAGTACTCCACCAGCGGACTGTGTTCCATTGATCTTTGTCTTCCGCCACCAGACGCTGCCAATCATCAATGATCAGTTTCTGTGGCCTTTCAAACCAGAGTGATCTGAGATGAGGCAGACGAAGGCGCGCCCATGGCGGAAATTCCTCCTCCACTCCATCTTCCCTATTTTCCATAGTCGTACGGTCTAGAACCCAGACCCATGCTGACATACGCAACTTTAAAAGCTTCCTGTACTTTGGGCTTTTGAAATCTACAGGAGCTACCGGTGGTGTCTGCTCCGGAAGCCTCAGTAGCGTCTGGAGAGCCGCCTCGTCAATGATGAGACAGTGATCATAACGTGTATTGCGGCCAGATGTATCGACGTCCAGGTTGTCTACCCAGGATATGAATGCTCGGCCAATGGGGCTAAAGTCCTCGCTACCTTCCGGCTCGGTGACCAGCTGATCAGAATCGGGATAATCCTCGATCACCTCATTCCACATACGCTCTGCAACTTCGTCGCTGATATCCCGTTCGCCTGGAGCAGGCATAGTCCCTGGGAATCTATTCCATTTTTGCAGCTGAAGCATCCGATCATAGCGCTGCATACGGACATCCCACCGGGTCCATGCCTCAAGGCGGCGAAAACCCTCCTCGAACCGAGCGTCAGAGTCGCCTCCGAAAACGGCGCGGTAAATGGTATAGCCCCAGACATACGGCACATAGGAGTTGAACGATGTGTCGTTTAAAAACAGAAGATTGCGGCGGCATGGTCGCCCTTGTTCGATCCACTGTTTGTCAGGGTTTGAAAATGCTGGGGTATGAACCTCCGGCGGGATCGAGCCCAGATCAGGCTTCTCACGAGAAAGTACCATGTTGTTGTGTCTGACGCACAGAGGTAGACCGTCATGGTAGCTCGCTGCTACGAGAATCGCTTGAGAATGGAGAGGGCGGCTGTGAGGCTTTATACACAGAAGCCCTTTGTAGCTTGTAACTAGATGGCCAGTTAATGGTTTAGCCTACTGCTCATCAAGCACCCCGTACCTAACACTTAAATAAAGTGATGCTTACCGAATTAGGTATAAACACGAAATTGCCCTAGCTAGGTCCAAGTCGAACTAAAGCCAGCTTTACAAAGTACCGGTAATTGGTTAGATCAATTGTTGCATTGATCTCGAAAGTTACTTCTGAGAGTAGACATCCTGGCTCGTGGTCTTCAACCCCTGAATGTACAGTGACGATACTGGAAGAGGCAATTTGTCTCACCCGATTTCGCTGCCAGACATCGGCAAACTCGTGGTAAACCTGGAAGTCTGTCAGTCTCACCCGTGAGTGTGTAGCACTGTCCATTCTAGGTTCACGAGTATTTGATATCTCAGTCTTGAATAAAAAAGTCTTGTACGAATTTACTTTACATTCAGGATGCGACGTATCGCTCTCCATATGATGCAGCCAATTCCCACGCCAGTCAACCCTTTTAACACCGTGAAAAGCAAGGGAAACAAAAATCAAGAGTGTGCGGGATCCCGGTGTTCAAGTGCTTTTTTTACTTTCTTTCGCAAGACCCCTAAAACGAAGAATCTATTATTTGTTTGTTCGATTAGAGCTCGTCATGGTTCAACGGCTCGTCATCACCCTCGCCGCCCGGTGCACCGCCGCTGTAAAGCTTGCTGGTGATGGGGTAGGCCACGTTCGATAGCTTCTCCTTCTGCTCCTCAAAGTCCTCCGTAGAGGCGGTAGCCGCGTTCTCCTCAAGCCAGTCGGTGGCCTCCTTGACAGCGTCGAGGATCTATAATGTTGTTAATCATCGTGGTACAATTAATTCGCCTGGAATATTAACTTACAGTCTCCTTGTCCTCCTCGTCGATCTTGCTGCCAAGACCATCCTCATCGTTGACCTGGTTCTTCAGGCTGAAAGCGTAGTTTTCAAGGCCATTTCGGGCTTCGATGCGCTCGCGGGTAGCCTTATCCTCCTCGGCGTACTTCTCAGCCTCGGCAACCATGCGGTCAATCTCCTCCTGGGTGAGACGGCCCTTGTCGTTGGTGATGGTGATGGACTCAGACTTGCCAGTGCCCTTGTCGTGAGCGGACACCTTGAGGATGCCGTTGGCATCGAGCTCGAAAGAGACCTCGATCTGGGGCACTCCACGGGGGGCGGGAGGGATACCAGTAAGTTCGAACTTGCCGAGAAGGTTGTTGTCCTTGGTCATGGATCGCTCACCCTCATAAACCTGGATCAGGACGACCGGCTGGTTATCGGCGGCAGTGGAGAAGATCTGGCTCTTGCGGGTCGGGATAGGAGTGTTACGGGGGATCAGCTTGGTCATGACGCCTCCGGTGGTCTCAATACCGAGAGTCAACGGGTTGACATCCATGAGAACGATCTCCTCAGTACCCTCCTCACCGGAAAGAACACCAGCCTGGACGGCAGCGCCGAAAGCGACAGCCTCATCAGGGTTGATACCCTTGCTGGCCTTCTTGCCACCGAAATACTCCTCAATGAGGGACTGCACCTTGGGGATACGAGTGGAACCACCGACCAAAACAATGTCGTCAATTTCTGCCTTCTTGACGTTGGCATCCTTGAGCACCTGCTCAACGGGCTTGATGGTCTTCTTGAACAGATCCATGTTCAGCTCCTCAAACTTGGCACGGGTCAGGGTCTCGGAGAAGTCCTTGCCGTCGAAGAAAGCCTCGATCTCGATACGAGTTGACATCTGGGAAGAGAGGGTTCGCTTAGCCTTTTCGGCCTCACGCTTCAGCTTGCCCATGGCCTTGAGATCCTTGGTGATGTCGACGTTGTTCTTCTTGTTGTAGGACTTGGCGAAGTGGTTGATGATACGCTGGTCGAAATCCTCACCACCGAGATGGGTGTCACCGGCAGTAGCCAAGACCTCGAACACACCCTGGTCAATTGACAGCAGGGAGACATCGAAAGTACCACCACCAAGATCGTAAACAATGATCTGGCGTTCACCATCAGTCTTGTCCAGACCGTACGCAATAGCGGCGGCCGTAGGCTCGTTGACGATACGGAGGACATTGAGACCGGCAATGACACCGGCGTCCTTGGTGGCCTGTCTCTGGTTGTCGTTGAAGTAGGCTGGAACAGTGACAACGGCGTGGGTGACCTTCTTGCCCAGGTAGGCCTCGGCGACCTCCTTCATCTTGCCCAGAATCATGGCGGAGATCTCCTCGGGGGTGAACTTCTTGTCCTCGCCATTGACCTCGACCTGAACAACGGGCTTGTCATCCTTGGAGATAACCTTGTATGGGAAGTGCTTAATGTCGGTCTGGACATCCTTCTCAGAGAACTTTCGTCCGATGAGTCGCCTAGAGTAAACTGTTAGAAAATGTTGCTGGAAAGTTTTAGGAGAAAGCATTGCTCACTTGATGTCGAAGATGGTGTTGGTAGGGTTTGCCGCAGCCTGGTTCTTTGCTGCGTCACCGACTAGTCTCTCATCTTCGGTAAAGGCCACGTATGAGGGGGTAATTCGGTTTCCTGTGCGCACTGGAGTTAGCAATTGATCCCGTGAGCGTCGAGACAAGAATTGCAGTACGAACCTTGGTCGTTGACGAGAATCTCAACCTTGCCCTTCTGCATCACACCGACGCAGCTGTATGTGGTTCCAAGATCCTGTCGAGGAAGTGGTCAGCCAAAGCCACCGCAACACAAGCGCAGAGCGAGTGCGACTTACAATACCAATAACGGTGCCATACTCCTGAACATCGTCGGCCCTTACGGTCTGGACGAAGGCAAGAGGTGTGAATAGAAGACAAATCCAGAAAACCAAGCCCAGGCCAATGGCCATGGAGCTCTTTGCTCGAGACTCCATTTCGAGCTCTGAGTGTGAAGGTGGACAGAGAGAGATCCTATGCGCGCACAGCTCGAATAACGACGACAAGACTGGGGGGTATCAAGAAAAGAAAGACGCAGACAAGAAGCTCGTTGGTCTGCTTGGATCGTATGCTCAAGCCTCTGAACGGGCGAGTCGTGGGAATGCAACGGTAAGTGAGGTTGAGTAGGGGGAAAGAAGTGGGTGTGGCAGAGGGAGAAATCCAAAGATTTGGCCCTTAATATTGCTCGGGGCAGCTCCAAAAAGATGCGAAAGGACAGATTTCAATGATTATCTGGCATCTAAGGTACCCGCCACCCCATTCGCTAACAGGACTGGCGGGGGGTGACCGCGCGCAGCTGATAAAGTGGTACCTGATGCACCCACCCAAAGAAGGCTAAGTGAAGCTTCCATTGCCGCCGCCCTGGCTCCAACCCACGGCGCCATTGCTCCATTACTCCAACAGGATCATTGCTTGCCATCCGCCGCCGCCCAGTATAACACAGTGAGTAATGCAATACCCTGCCCGTCCTACTGGACACGTCTCCAGCATTTCCAACACTTATTAAGGTGAGGCTCTGGAGATGGTTCATCAATACTGCATGAGCCGTACTACAATGCAATATCAACCGTTGTGCTGGACGCAGGTAAGTCTATCTAGGTAGGTATCTTCAACTCGTCTTGATATCTCTTAAGCCAACCACCAACAATACTCTCTTCCAACGCAAAAGAAGCCCCATGTCCTTCGATCTTCTTCCGCCTATTCCTGCTACTGTGGCCAGATGGAATCATCTCGTTAGCGGCCTGTGACTGTGACGCTTTTGCCAAATTCCAGAACGTTCACGAAGGCATCGATCAGGGTGTGTGGGGCTGACAGGGCTACCTACGAGCCTACTTCGCTGAAGCGCCTCCCGGTCCCGCAAGGGCCAAGTGCCAAGTGCCAGGGGTAAGGTGGCACTTGACAAGCCGATAGCCTGTAGAGAGACACTCTGTCCTTTTAAGCTTCAATAGCCCTTCGGTTTAACTTGAATCTGTCTTCAAGGCGCGTGCCCACATGCTCAGCGTCGTTGCGTAGTCTCATTAGTGGACATTTAATCGTTCTGAACGTTGCATTCGGCCTTGCTATACAACGAGTTTAACGACTTAGTGGGTGAAGTGAATCCACTGTAGTACCTGGTAGTGCTCAGATGTTGTTTCTGTTAGGTGTCCTTCTGCAGCGGTCATGGTGCCGTTGGATTCCTCACCTACCCAACTTGTAGATAGGTGTTGCTATCTGGTTACTACCAAGATATCACAGTGGATGAGTTGCTTGAATCTATAGACGGCTCACACCAGATCCGTGTATCTCAAAGCAGACAAATAGGTCTACGAGCCTCAAGTGAACTCTCCAGACAATACCTATCTGCAACGGGCAGTCCGGTCGGTGGCTAATACCCGCCATAGTTGGAGGCTCAAATGACGAAGAGGCTCTACATAACGGCATATTATTTGGTGGAATTGGAAGTGTCACTTTGGAAACACGCACCTCCCTGAGTTGCTCGTCGTCGGACACATTCAATGCTCTTGTCTTTCTCTCAGTAGTTCATACCGGTTCTATTCTAGTAGCCCCGCAGCAACTGTTTCTCCGTTGCTTCTAAGAACAACTCTCTGGCCTGCTTCTAACGGCACCTTGTTGTTCATCTTTACCACTATCCGCGCCACACTCGCCGGCTTGACGATCTTCGGCCGCTTCTTCGTGACGGCTCCTGTGCCCTTATCTAGTACGGCTGACAGCTCTTGTATCTGCCCAGCAGAATGTAGTCTGCCTCGGTGCACATCGACTTGCATGGGCATCAAGATATCGAAAGCCAACGCCTTCATCGTGAATGTGTCTACTGTTTGTATAGGTTTTGACGGGTCGCAGATAATGTCTCCCACGCGGACGTGGATCGGGTCTATGTTGCTGAGATGTATCACAACATTCTGGCCGGCGACCGCCCACTCAGCAGTCTCTTGGTCCACTTCTAGAGCTTTGACGTAGGCCTTTTCGCCACTTGGCTGTACCAAGAGAGCATCACCTGTCTGCAACGACCCGGCGTCAATCCTTCCAGTTATCGTCAAAGGACTAAGTGCTGTTCGGTAAACTTCTGAGATGGTCATCCGCAGCGGTTTGGTTAGGGCTCGTGTCATAGGCTCTGATGCTTCCAACTCTTCGATAAGGGTTGGTCCGGAGTACCATGACACGGCTGACTCTGTAGAACGTCGAACAAGGTTGTCGCCGTGCAACCCAGACACAGGCACAAAGCTTATATTCTTCGCCTGGAAGCCAGTCGCAGATAGGAAGCCTGAAACTTGCTGTGATATCTCATCAAACCTCTCCTTATCCCAGGTGACGGTATCCAGCTTGTTCACTGCCACGATGATTCTCGAGACGCCCATACTTCGAATGAGTAGTGAATGTTCTCGAGTCTGTCCCTTGAGGCCAGCTTCAAAAGCACCCGTGCTAGCATCAACAACCAGAATCGCAAAGTCGGCCTGCGCCGCCCCTGCAATCATGTTCGGAATGAAATCGCGATGACCAGGTGCATCTAGAATTGTAAAGGATGTTGTTTCGGTCTCGAATTTGTTCGTAGCAATGTCGATAGTAACTCCACGAGATCTTTCTTCTGACCGTTGATCTAATATCCATGCGAGAGCGAAAGAAGACTTTCCTATTCGCTCTGCCTCCTTCCGGTACTTATCGACTGTTCGTTGATCCACGACATTCAGATCTAACAGCAGCCGTCCCATTAAGGTGCTTTTACCAGCATCAACGTGCCCTGTCATACGTTAGTATCCAACAGCTCGGAATCAAATATGAGAAAGTATTGGCTTACCGACGACTACAAAGCTCGCGGTCTTTTTCTTTTTCGTCTTTTCGTATTCATTAAGCACATTGAGGTTCTTGCTTTTCGGTAAAGGGGTATCATCAACTTTCAGCGCCTTGATCTCGTTCGCCACATCGTCATGGCCACCCTTCTTTTTCGGCACACTTGCAGGAGGTTTCTTGCCTGCTGTCGTGGGTGTCAGTAAGAATCACTTCTTTCCATTCCCGAAGCGCGAACCTTGCGCCTGTGCCGCTAGCACAACATCATCGGGGGAAGGTTTGGCGAACACATCAGCAAGCGCAACATTGTACGCCATGTATGGTGGAGGAAAAGATTGTAGTTGTGCCTTGGGTGCAGCAGAAGCAGATCCTATCAATGCCTGGGCAAAGGCAGATGGTTTTGCGGGCTCAGGAGGAGGCTCAGTGTCGACGATCATCTCCTCTGGACCAGACTTCAGTTCCCTGGGAGGTTGTAGCTCGGGGGCGAGCATCTTCTCGACAGCAAACTGGTCTCTTGGCGAGTCCACGACATAGCTAGACTCGCCCTCTATCTTGCGACGCTTGCTTAGACCCCCCAGAGCTGGCTTCCTGTTTTCTTTTTGTAGTCTCGTCTCTTCAACCGACAGACTCTTCATTTTCTGCTCCGTTTCTTTGACCTTTTCTTCTGACTTTTTGTCGTCCCCTTTCTTCTTTCGCGCTGCAGCAAGGGCTTGCAGTTTAGACATCTTTGGCGGTCCGCCCGAGCCACCAAGCAGTCCACCTTGTGGAAGTTGAGGGGCAACGAAGGTTGTCTGGCGGTGTCGAGGAATATTGAGCCACGGCATGTCGTCGAAGAAGGCGGCAAAGGATGGTCGCGGCCGTGGAGTGATCGTCTGGTGGTAATGGAAGGAGGATATCCCTTGGCAAAGCGTCAACGAACCTCGCTCGGAAGGGTCCTGGAGTCTTGCCGATCGCCATGTGGACTCTGACAGTCTGCCTCAATCCTTGGATCTGCTTCGGCTGCATGGGTTACGGCAGAGTCGCTGGACTCAAGGATGTGCAATGTGAAGAGAAGAAAAGTGTAACTCACTGTCTGCAGGCTTTGGCGTCTTGGTCTTGGCTGGCTTCGGCGGCGCAGGATCGATGAATTTGTTGATTAGATATGCTACTGACTTGTCCACATCGAAATAGTAATACCATAACGCTTCTTGAATCTGCTGAGTCGTGACTTTGTCCGCCTGAGGCCCTAGAGCAGCCTTGACATCTTGCGTGCCTTGTGCTAGCTGTGCCTTGTCTTCCGGGCTGATCTCTTGTTCTTCGTCTGAGTATGCGCCACCGTCAAATTCATCAAGGTCATTCTCGTAATCGTAGTTGCGGTAGGCCTGGTGCCGAGACATCTTGACGGTGACTGCGTCTCGGCAGTGCAGGAGGGGAAATGTGATTCCTGAAGTGTCGATCCAGGTTTCTTCGCTGAGAAGAAAAGGCTAAAGAGAGATCTCTATGTCCAGAGTAGATATGCGACAGCGGTTGTGACGCTATCTCCGCCGCGATCAGCCACCTACGAAGTGTGTCTTGAGGTTTTCTCCGAAATAAAGGTGATGACACTTGGAAGCTGTTTTGGTGATGGCGGGGCAAATGCCAGCCCACACTGACGTCCTAGGTTGCTTGAGTCGACTGTTAGCGGGGTTAGGTACCTGAAGCTCCTCACCGCCCTGTAAACTTGCCATGCCTGCCCAGGTGGGGTTGACAAGCCGCCTTAGCGGATGCAATGTTTTACCGGCTCCGGGCTCACTGCGCGCGGGTCCGGGGCAACTTTTCGAGATTTTTGATGGAGCTTTGTACTAGGGGGCCAGTTTAGGTAGACATAGCAGCACCGTAGCTGTCAACTCTTTTTCCTTCCACTTTTGATACCCTATCCAAAAGTCGACAACGTATATTAGTCAAAGTGATTCATACGAGGTCGGAGAAGCTGTTATCTAGTCAAGATGGCGTTGAGTAAGTAAACAATCAGTTCTAAGAAAGCTGCACGAGTCGCTGACAAAACGGTATAGATTTGGATTTGGCAAATGGTAGGCTCGACATACCAACAATTTGTAGCAGAAGTTACTAACATTGCGCCTAACAGCTGCCGTAATGAAGGATGAGCAAGGCAGGCCATTCATCGTCGTCCGAGAGTAAGCTCCAAGCCCTATGTCAAGTTCTGTATGCTCGGAGAGCTAACCCTCACCACTAGCCAAGGCAAGAAGAAGCGCCAATACGGCAACGAAGCAGTCAAGTCACACATTCTAGCCGCCCGCACGGTCGCAAACATCGTCAAGACATCCCTGGGACCCCGTGGTCTCGACAAGATCCTCATTTCCCCCGACGGCGACATTACTGTAACGAACGATGGCGCAACGATCCTCCAGCAGATGGAGATTACCAACCACGTCGCGAAGCTCCTCGTAGAGCTATCCAAGTCACAAGACGACGAGATTGGTGACGGTACGACGGGTGTAGTGGTTCTGGCGGGCGCACTCCTCGAGCAGGCAGCCGAGCTCATCGATAAAGGCATCCACCCGATCAGGATCGCGGACGGCTATGACCAGGCGTGCGATATCGCCGTAGCGGAGCTCGACAAGATCTCCGACGTGATTGAGTTCAGCAAGACAGAGACCAAGAACCTGGTAAAGGTTGCAAGGACAAGTTTGGGCAGCAAGATCGTCTCCAAGGCACACGACCAGTTTGCGAATATTGCAGTGGACGCCGTATTGTCCGTGGCAGATCTGGACCGGAAGGACGTTGACTTCGAGCTTATCAAGGTTGACGGAAAGGTTGGAGGCTCGCTAGAGGATACTCTCCTAGTCAAGGGTGTCATCATCGACAAGGACTTCTCACATCCGCAGATGCCTCACGAGGTCAAGGATGCGAAGATTGCCATTCTCACATGTGCTTTCGAGCCGCCAAAGCCGAAGACGAAGCATCACTTGGATATCTCATCCGTGGAGGAGTACAAAAAGCTACAGAACTACGAGCGTGAGAAGTTCATAGAGATGATTCAGCAGATCAAGGACACCGGTGCCAACCTGGCTATCTGCCAATGGGGTTTCGACGATGAGGCCAACCATCTACTTCTACAGAACAAGCTCCCGGCTGTCCGGTGGGTTGGCGGACCAGAGATCGAGTTGATCGCCATTGCTACCAACGGACGCATAGTACCGCGATTTGAGGACTTGAAACCCGAGAAGCTAGGCACTGCCGGAATCGTACGAGAGATGGAGTTCGGTACAACAAGGGAGAAGATGCTTGTGATTGAAGAATGCGCAAACACCAGGGCTGTCACAGTGTTTGTGCGAGGAAGCAACAAGATGGTTAGTTGACATCCCCATGAATCATACATAGTACCTCTAACAACCATTAGATCATCGATGAGGCTCGTCGGTCACTACACGATGCACTATGCGTCGTAAGGAATCTAGTGAGGGACAACCGCGTCGTATACGGCGGTGGATCAGCCGAGATTGCTTGCTCCCTGGCCGTCGAAGATGCCGCAGTGAAGACCCCCGGCCTCGAGCAATACGCCATGCGCGCATTCGCTGAGGCTCTCGACGCCATCCCCATGGCACTGGCCGAGAACAGCGGTTTGAACCCCATCGCGACGCTGGCCGAGGTGAAGAGCCAGCAGGTCAAGACGGGCCGAGGCCGGCTCGGCGTTGACTGTATGCAGAGGGGCAGCAACGACATGAAGGAGGCATTTGTCATCGACCCCCTGATCGGCAAGAAGCAGCAGCTCATGCTGGCGACGCAGCTATGCAGGATGGTACTGAAGGTCAATAACGTGATTATAGCCGGCTCGGGTGAGGATGACTTCTAGACAGGGAGATGGGCTGGACACAAAAAGGATACTTGCGTGCCTACCTTATGCATGGCGTTTGCGCAGAAAATGACGGCTTGTATGAATGAAAGGAATAGATCTTGTAGAACCAAGGGAACTATCCCGGGATATACCAATGATTAGTATTCTAAGTCACCTCAGGGTTCCTTTAGCAGTGATATTGTGAATTTCTACATTCGAACCCCCCAATTCAGGGGTACGGCTAACCGATAGACAGGGCACACTTGCTTACACGCTTGAATACAAGACTAGAACGAGTTCCGTAAGATAATGACACACGGAACACCTGCTACCTTTTTGATCCAACTCCATCTTAAGCAAATCCGAATCCTTGCGCGTTCTCTAGTGCCATGGACAAGCGCTCCCTCAGAATCTCCTTATCGTGATACTCCGGCAACAACAAGGTGCCGTAACAGGTATATGCGGTCGGCAGATGCCCGCCGTCGCCCTCCTCACCATTACGTTGCACCACGAACTGTAGGTTCTTCATGCCACCAACAGGGACTCGGTCGCTGGCGGTGACAAACTCGAGCAGCTTGCGCTTCATGCGGTCGTCGTAGCGCTTGACAATGCTCCAGAAGTCCTTAATCGTCCGGTGCGTCGAGTCCCAGCCGACATAGCGCGTGTAGCGCCGCAAGTCGGCGATATCAATATCCTGCACGCCTTCGACGATCGATTGTAATAGGTTTGAAGTGAGCAGGGTGAGTGATTTGGGGTGTAAGCACGTGCGGAAGCCACGCGCGAACGCCTCGTATTGAGGTTTTACACTGACGTCCGTCAGATAGTGAATATAGTCCGAGACATATGCATTGCGGTTCTCTCCTGTGACGAGAGGTGCATCAGGCGGGTTGGCCGCAGACAGAGGCGATGTGCTCGAAGACGATTCCGCAACAGACTTCGGGAATTGTGGCCACTCCGGGTTGTCTGAGTTCATCTCTCGTGAAATATGCTCATCGAACATTGAGACGGAGAACTCATAGGTTCGCGCAAAAACGTCTTCCACAAGGCCATCTTTCTCGTCCCATTCCAGGAGTGTTGTCAAGCCACTAGCAAGATCTGGCCATCCGTCCGCAATATGATGCAGCTCAGTGACTGGCTCGCCGAGAAGCTTTCGATAGAGTGCCTTGGGAAATGTGATAGGGAGTGTAAGTCCGTTGTAGACTGCCAGCGAGATGAGCAGGCCCACAAGCTCAAATTTCCACTCGGCTTCAAGAGAGCCAGGTTGGAACCACACCATACGAGTCCGATCATCAATAGTGAAAGCACCGTACTTGGGGTCCAAAGCCTCTGCGATGGCCATCCTGAAGAACTCTTGTTGCACACCACCGGAGTCGAAGCCCTCTTCTCCACCTTCCTCGCCCAAGTGGACTTTGAGAGGTCGCATAAGCTCCCGTTCCTCGCGCCTCCAGAGTTGGTCAAACGCGTCTGTGATGACATTATCGCGGCTGATGTCCAAGATTAAATATTTGGAAGAAGCCGTGTGGAGAAGATCTTGCAACACGTTCTTATGGTGGTTGTTGATAATCAAGCTGCCAGGCTGGATAATGTGTTCCATGCGATTCTTTAGAGAGCTAGATTCCTCAAAAGAGCGGCTCATTCTCGAGAAATTAATGGACCTGAAGTAGGACACAAGAGTCGACGGGTTGAAGATATATGGGAAGTCGAGGAGATGAAACTTTTGTTTGGTTGACGTGAATGACAACCAAGCAATAGGCATCACCACCTCATCGAGACGCTCGGCAAAGTATTCGGCTCGGAATTGTGCGTCTCCCAATAATAGAGCCTGGCGTTTGTTGTCTGCTACAATGTCAGTTGAAATTCTGAATAGAAATGTTTGTGGTCACGTACACATAGCCTCAATCAGCGCTAGGGCACCGCCAAATGGACCATCGCCAGGCACTTCTGGGCTTCCGTCCCAATCGTTGAGCATCACAGCCCTTGCCCAATCAAGAAGTAGTGTAGGAACCCTTGCTTCATGCAGGGTACGCTCGAAGAAAGAGAAGTTTAGTATGTACACGGCATCCATATTCAGAAAGTCAAGCTGTGAAAAGAGAGGTGCTAGAACATCGGCTTGCTCTGATGCATCGACGTCCGAGTCAAGCTCATTCTCAATCATGCTGTCATAGTACCTACGCGTTGTGACCGCAGCAAACAACCTTCTAGCCAACCGCATTGTCAGATCGTTGGAAAATGCATCGTCATACTGAAGACATAGCTCTGTAGGTTGTCGAGCAACTGCACCACTGCCTGACAAGCTCAGGCCATGAGATCGTATGCGGGACATGTCGTAGAGTTGCCTGACATCTACGACCTTTGGAGCAGCAGCGACCAGGGCGTGGAGGCATATGGACATTACAACCCCAGCCTCTGCATTTGAAAGAACCTTTTCCTGTTTGGGGAAGAGTCTCGCTGTAGGTGATCTGAGAGATTGCACAGTCTTTGGAGGAGCGAACAAGCTAGCCGCAGCCAGCCACAGGCTGTGAAAAACAAGCGTTGGTGCAACTCTGGTCATTCTCAACATGCAATACCAAAGCGTTTGAGAGTCGTAAAGCTGCCCCTTCTTGGTAAAGGATCGAATGAGAGTGTGAGGATCGCTGAGGACATAGAAAAGACTCTGTTCTACGAACAACCTCCACTCTGACCTCAAATCTAGGGAAGACACAAGCTTCGCCTTGGATTTTCGCCTCATCGACTTGTGTTGGTTCGAGGTTCCGGAGTGAAGTTTGGAAACAGTCTTGGGCTCAAACAAATGGGTTTCGCAGGTCTGGTCTTCTTGAAGAACATCGCACACGAAATCCACAACGTCAGCATTCAATCGAGACAATGCCTGTGGCAAAAGACTGTCATATGATGATTCGAGATCACTGTCAAGCCCTTCCGGAGTGTCGTCTTCGTTCTGGTCCTCAGAGGATTGGAGAGATGTGTTGGAGCGCATCTGCCTGAGACTGTCTCCATCGCCACTCTGAGCCCCATCGATTTGCCCACGTCCCAATTTGGGTTTGGCCTCGATGTGTTTGGGCGGCGGCATCTTCTCGAGGGAAACTGCGTCAAAGTATCCTGCAGACGAAAGCTGGGATATTGGGCGTGTCAATGTTGGGCCTGTGGATTTCGGCGGTTTTGGCGCCTTTCGAGGAGACTTGAACGCCGAAAGCGCATCATCCGGAGTCGCATCTTGGGGTATATCGGCCGACAACCGCTTGTGTTTGTTTGTGGATGACGTGCGGACCCTCGCATTTGAATTCCGCCGCTGGCTTCCAGGTCGTGGCGCGGAGGGAACTCGATGACCATTCAGGATACCTTCCTCGGTCCCCTGCGTGCCCTCATGACCCGTATGAGCACTTCCGTTGACTTCCCGGGATGTTTCTGTTGAACCGTTGCCCCGATCCCTGATTTCCTTGTGGAGTTGCTCGTCCAGATCAGAATCTGTTGGTGTCGGCCTCGCAGAACCAGGACTACTCTCGGATCGCTCCTTGACGGGCTTGTCTTTGGGAGCCTGAGGTTTGAGATCCCCTTGCAGCTCGCGCGCCTTAGCAGACATATCCTCAATGGAGTTTGGGGTCAACCACTCCAGCATCTTGAACGCGACCGTGCCAAACATATTCGCTGCAAATGATCGATAATCCTTCCCAGCCGACTTCTCTACGATATCAAATCTCGGCAACCTTGCGTCGTCTCGTGACTCATTCAGAGGTACCTGGCCCGCATTCTCTCCTTTCTCCTGCTGGGAAGCATCCTGCTCATCCGCCTTCAGACCAGTTGACTGTCTCATCTTGATGGTGGTCTGACGTCCCTTAAGCGAGCCACTCCGAGCATGTCCATTCTGGCCTTTGAAAAGTTGAGCAGATCGATCCTCTAGCTGCGGGGGCACGCATTTTGGAGAGAAGATAAGGGAATCGAGTGCAGCCGGTCGCGCCTTGGGCGACCTCAACGTGGGACAGAGGCCATTTTCTGGGTTATCCTGGCTTGCCATATAGACGGCCAACACCCGGGCACTTGTGGTATTGTATCGTCGGATCGGAGCTCGTCCCGCGATTCGTTTTCGGCAAGAGAAGCATGTCGCGGTGGTACAGGTACTCGAGCCACAACCATCTCTTAGCTGCACGATGAATCTGTTTCAAAATCGGTTAGCCAGCGCATCGTGGACACGAGCACGGTAGTGATACGCACTTTTCAAGGAGAAGCTGGAAGTTGTGCCGCCGGCTTGCGCGATGCACGGCGTAGACTCGCTTCGGGTTCTCGATGTCCTCGATCAGCTCCTTAAGCTCGGTCGGCGCATCCCACGGCAGCCGCGCAAATGGCGCCTCCTCCCACAGACCGGCGAGCAGATCGACTTCGGCATCGCGATGGTCGTGCCCGCCATCAAGCGACCGCGTGGAATCTCGAGTCATGACATGTGGATTTGGTAAGGCCGTTGGTGAGTCGTGTCGAGTCGAATTTGGGAGATCTCTGCAGGAAGCCGACCTCGAGTGTCGAGGACTGGAAGTGGGTTCGAGTTCGATGAAGAAAAAGGCCCGGCAGAAGATTCTAGCAAAGAAAACAAAAGCCCCGTCTATTAGGTCATTGGCAGGTGCTGTGCTGCAGCGATTCACAGCCTTCAACGATCGATGCGATGCTTTACATTCGAGAACAAAACGAGATGATGTCGGCGTTGTCACATCTGGGATCTGCCTACCACCTGCTCTACTCTAGTCCCCGGACCCAGCGGGAGACACTACCATGCGGCTGGCTGTCTTGGCTTGGCTGGCCAAGACTAGAATGGGTTGTGACAGGGGCACACTTCCAGGCCTTCATTCAGCCGCCTATCAAAGATCAAGGAATAACATGGCAGAGGACTACAAAGTCAATCGCCACATGGCTTAGCAAAGAACTGATGAACTAGGCAACTTGCTCTTTATTGTCGAGATTTGCCATTAGATCCCATGTCTGGTGTTAGTCTTTGTCTTGATTTGCTCAATCACAATGTGTGTGCAAGGAATGGCAGTCAGGATACTGTATTTCTAATCCGATGGAAGATACATGTACCTCACTTACCAAGCTAGAGAGGTGAAGAATCATGTAGGCATAATTTAGCCCACCAGTATTTGTATAGACCTTGTTTATCTCTTCAAAACTCCATATGGATGCACTCATCTGAACTTACCTAGCCATTTCCAAGGCCAAAATATCCTATTTACATACTTCTATAAGTAGCCAGAACCATGGGAATACTGGGGTGGATGATGGATGATGCTGATAGGCAGGTCTGATCAGGAGGCTACCTGGGCTGTCTAGGCTAGGGCGATAAAGTTACCGTTGCCGAAAGCGAATTGCAGGGTTTCTAATTGACGAGGGTGACTTTTTGGCCTGACGTAGGTATCTAAGTATCTAGGTAGCCTCTCCCAAGCGCCCAGCCCAGCGAGGGGCAACCACCAGTCAGGGTACCTGGGAAAACGCAAAAACCCCACCACAGGCGCAAAAAGAACGCCACCATCCAAAAATCCCACTTCTGCACGCAGATTTCCACACGGCTCCATTTGCCTATTTATCACTTACACTCACACTCATTCTCTCCGGCACCGCTTCCCCGCTGCTGTGTGGTGATCCTGTCGTCGCTTGTGCACACAAAAAAGCAAAAGCAAGCAACTGCTGTGTCACCCGGGAAATTGCTCACGAGACCATCAGAGCAGCACTGTCATTTCCCCTATAAAGACACACTCAGCAGTTGTCAGACGTCACAGGACTGCCACTGTCGGAATATCGTCATTTTCATAATCACATTTCCCTCACCAGCCGATATTTCCGCCCATCCGCCATATCCCTCACAGCTCCATCGCACCACACGACACCACGACACCACTCTCCACAGTCTGACAATGGCGACAGTCACAGGAAGCCGAAGTGCAGCGCCTGTACAGGATGCACCAGCCTCTCATCCCTACACTTGCAACACCTGCCAGGTTGCCTTTCGCAACAGCGACCTCCAAAAGGGTCATATGAAGAGTGACTGGCAGTATGTATAACCTGTACTCAGACCATATGGTCAGAATGCTAATATAAATACTCCTCACAGTCGCTACAACCTCAAGCGCCGAGTGGCCTCACTGCCCCCTATCTCATCCGAGGTTTTCACCGAGAAGGTTTTGCAGGCGCGAGCGAGTACAACGGCAGAGGCGGAACGAGCCGGTTTTCAGAAGGAGTGCGAAGTCTGCCACAAGACATACTACAGTGAGAACTCGTACCAAAACCACATCGGGAGCCAGAAACACAAGGCTAGGGAGGCAATGCAAGAGCGACAGAATGGTACGGGCGATGATGCTAGCTCCATGATCAGCTCGACCTTCTCTCTGGGAGAGCCAGTCCCTGTCAAGAAGGATGCGGAGCTCGACTCGGATGCCGAGGAGGAGTTCACCAACATCATTGAGGGTCTGAAGAAGACCGAGTTGCGGGAGCGGCCTTCCCCCGTGAAGCGTCCGTCGAACCCCCATCTCTCTGCTACAGGACAGCACAAACAAGAACACCCCATATCCGAGGCCTCCAGCGACCAACCGTCATCTACTACAACCCCAGTGCCGTCCAAGTCTGCTCCCGTGCTGACTCTCAAGAATTGTCTGTTTTGCAATTATGAATCCCCTACCGTGCGCCTGAGCGCCACACACATGGAGCGCATCCACGGAATGTTCATCCCCGAGAAGCAATATCTTGTGGACCTGGACGGATTGTTGTCCGCACTGCAAGAGCGCATCCAGGAGTTCAATGAGTGTCTGTATTGTGGCAAGGTCAAATCTAACGCATTTGCTGTGCAAACCCACATGCGCGACAAGGGCCACTGCAAGATCCCTTACACCACCGAGGACGAGCAGTTGATGATTGGCGAATTCTACGACTTCCGAAGCACCTATTCAGATGACGAGGAGTCAGAAGATGAGTCTATGGACGATGAGCAGCAGAATGGCGGTGCCAAGCTTGGTGCCAAGCGGCCAACCACTGTGCGCGGTGAGGATGGCGACGAGGTCATGGAGGAGGACGATGGCTGGGAGACGGATAGCTCAGAGTCGTCTTTGGACTCGGCGGATCTCACAGCCGTTCCTGCTGAGCAGCATTACCACCAATACGAGCGCCTTGATAAACATCCGCACCACACAAATCACGATCCCCGAGCGCACCGCCAGATAGATGGCTATCATTCCCATGCGCACAAGCACACACATGCCGTCTTCTACGACGAGTATGAGCTCCACCTGCCGTCAGGCAAGTCTGTCGGTCACCGTTCTTTGAACAGATACTTCCGCCAGAACCTGACCAACTACCCATCCGCCGAGGAGCGAGAGGAACAGCGCCTGGCTATCGAGGCTGGCAGTCCCGATGCTATGGACGTCGACGACGACAACCAGGTTGCCAGGAGAGACGATCGTGGTCGTGGCCGCGCTCTGGTCAGCCGGGCTAACGGCGGGCTGGGCATGGCTGGCGTGTCGGACAAGAAGAAGCAAGAGGTGAAGAAGTCTGAACAGCGGGGTCGTACCAAGGGCCAGTTCCGGGCGAAGCGAAACGAGTGGGCTCTCAACAGACAAGCCAACCACCAGAAGTATTTCCACTACAGCATCTTGTAAAAGATGGTTGTTTTGTATTGCTGGGAGTGGGGTTACTTGTGGGCGCGTGATATATTGCGTAGCCCCTTTGTCGGAAGTCATGTTGAGGAGTTTTGATTCACGGCACAACGGAGGTGGGTACCTCATGTCTCAGATAATTCCGAGATGCATTGAGGTAGACTTCGTTTATCGTGTCTAGTCAGTTCTAGACTAGGAGGCAACCAACAATAGACATGCATATGCTTACAGTGTTCACACTTTCGTGATTTGAGAAATTGCAGCTGCAGTGTCTCTTTGTGTCTATGTTTACATCATCGTCTCATACCTTTTCCGCACAAATTGGCAGTAGTAAACAGCAATCTTGATATTCACCCTGTCTAGTGATTTCTTAATTCAAAGGGCCCTTATAGCCAGCCCCTGAAACGGTATCTTCAAATCATAACTCAGATCAATCCGAACTGAAATCCCCTTAGACTATCTCAAGCGTCAAGCGTTCCTGGGAATCAATTTCACTGAACGCTAAATCAATATCCGCAATCCTTGAAAGCTATGCAAACCCGTTTCTACACGTGTCGTATACTGACTGTCCTGTCTCCTCGGCATGCCCCAGCGTTCACCATCTTGGCTCGCCGCGCTCCACCTTAGGGGTCACGACGGCATTCCGGTCCGCAAAGGGGTCGTCCTCATCCTCGTCCTCGATGTCGTCTTCGTCATCCGAGACATCGCGCTGGGGCAGCGCTCTGGGCGGCGGAGACGCCGATGATGGCTTCGACCTCGCTGACGGCCGGGGAGGAGCCGCCGGGCGAGGAGGCTGAGGTGGCGGGCTGATGCTCAGGCCGGCCATCTCCGCGGCTGGCTCCGTAGGCGATCCTGGTGCCTTGCCCTTCTCGGCAATCACTAAAGGGTTGCATGTCAGTACGTAGATACGGAGGAGATTGCCCGCTCGGTGGACATACATCGGTACAAATGAGCCTGCTCCGCGAGCTCGTCATCGGAGTCGCTGTCCGCGTCAATAGAGCGGTCCAGCTGCTCGAATGTCATCAACGCCGTGACGAGCTCATCGTTTGCGTGCAGAAGACCGCCAAGCCACTGCTCTGATTCCACGTGATGGATCTATGATGGTTAGTCAAAGTTTTTAGCAAAAGGGCGTGAACAGCTTACATAGCGCAAGACCTTCCTCCTTAATTGTTTGCAAGCCTCGAACCGCTCCACTGCTGTGGCGTTATTAGATATCCGCTCCTGCTCACGGTTGATAGTTTGCAGCGCGTTCAGCAAATCTGTCGCCGCAATGGATGACTCGGCGATGGTGACCTTCATTTGGTCCTTCTCGGCCTCGAGGTTGAAAGCCCGCCCCTTTTTGTTCTTCTTGTCCTTGTCTTTGTCCTTCTTCTTCTTGTCTTTGGACGACTGGACGTGGCTGAATGAGCTGATCTGGCCCGTAACTTGACTACCAAACGCCGAGCTCGCAGGATTCGACAGCCGAGACGACTGTCCCGCGGGCGAGGCGCTCTGCGCGGGCGGCGACTTGGGCTCGTCCTCATCCTCATCGTGGAACGGGTTCTCCGTCTCGCGCAGGACGCGGGACCGGTCCTGAGTGACGACCTGCTTGCGGCGCGGCAGCTCCTTGTACAGCTTGGCGATGCGCTCGAGGCCGGGCGTATTCTTGTACTCGGCGGCCCAGCCGCGGAACAGCTCGGAGCACTTCTTCTTGACGTCCGGGTCGGACAGGTCCGAGGTGCCGCACACGCGGAGGCGCTCCAGCAGCGGCTCGTCGGCGAAGGCGCGCTGGAAGCGCGGCCCCGCGTTCTGGATCAGGCCGTCGAGGAGGGTGAGTGCGCGCAGCTGGCGGTGCACGCTGCCGTACTTGAGCTTCTTGCGGATGGCGCGCGCGGCCTCGGCGGGGCCGGACGCCTGCAGCTTGATGACCTCGACCAGGTCGGGGATGCCGCTGAGATCATCCTCCTCGTAGGTCTCGCTTGTGAGACGCTCGATGGTCACGGTGACCGCCGAGTATGGTTTCTTCTGTAATTTTGTCAGTCGATCGTTTGTCAAGGGTAAGACTTATGGGAAGCTCGACTCAAACGAGCTACTGAGTATATGCGAAGACGGGTCCGAAACGCACAACCACCCTACCCAGATCACGAAAGGCAAGCAGATAGACACGTTAACTTACTTGAGAAAACATGATGTCGATTGTCGGTTATCTGAGAAGACTTATTGCTTCTGCAAGGTGAGTGTGTTTGAGCCCGATCGATTGGCACGTGTTATCATGAAGCGGGATGGAGCTGCACATGAAATGCTACAGCCTTATCCACCAAGCCCCTCAGGCAAGCCGCCGGTTATGTTGATGACAGCAGAGCTGATGCGCACGATGTCTCCAGGCAGAACTTGGAGAGTCGGAGACAATCCGCGCCCCAAGGTATATCGAGGCTGTGAATCAGTCGCTTCTCTTTGAGTTAGTCAGTGACTGTCAGGAGCTGATCATGCAGGCTGATTTAGACTCGGGATGAGCTGGCTGGCGGCTCACACGGCTCCCTCCTTTACTCGGCGGCTGGGCGCGCTGGCGGGGTCCTTCGGTTCGTGAGGTGGGACGCATGACGTGAGAAGAGACTGAGGTGGGCATGGTTGCACCCGATAACGATAAGCACCACATGGCGGGGTTGTCCACACACAGAACCTTGGAAGGCATACCTACCTACTAGCTACCTACCTAGGTACCCTCCCGCCCACCTCAGGCTTCAGGGTGCTGTACATACAGTGCCTTGCCTTAGTGCTCTTCGGCACGTGAGGAACTGCCGTTCCAACGGCACTCCTTTGCTAATCCTATAGAATCAAAGCTTGGAGTGTTGTTTGTGTTCATATGATGAATTTGGTTCACTTGTTCAATACCGATATGTTGTGCCACTTGATGTCCAAGCCCCAGAGAACCCAACCCGAGTTGGTGTAGCCTTACCTAGGTAGGGTCAGAGGGTGTGCCGGCGGAGTAGGGTTGTAAAGAAGAGTAAGTGGTACTGAGTATCAAATGGAATTCCCCGCCTTGAACATGACATAGAAGTTCGTCTTTACTCTATTGCTTGACGCTATGTAATGCTTTCCTGAACTTATAGCTTAGACTACAGAGGTAGGAGATTTTGAGGTAGATCTGGCATTACAAGCAGCGTCTCCTCTAGACGTTGGACACTCCGATCCTCCCAGACTACATAAGCGAAACTACATTCCACCCCCTCAAGCATGTCTCCTGCTTCTCCCATACGACTTCTTAAGAGGCACCGCAAAGGGCACTGATGCCTCCCAGGAGAGCACCGGTCCCTGCACTCAAAGCACCGGCGATAGATCCTGCTGTGCCAGTGATGACAGCACATAGCTGCGTGAACGAGAGGTAATTGGTGACTTGGTCAACGCGGGCATTCATGAAGCCCTGTAGCACGGGGTCACCGTTGATTGTAATGTACGACGTGATCCCGTGAAAGCTTGCGCCGGTGCATTGATTGAAGTCGTAGACGTCGTAGCCGCCCCCCTGATTCTTGGGTATAGGGATGCTAACAGTTTCGGTGGTACACTTCTCGTTCTTGGCCGCCGCGACTTGGAGCGCCTCCACGAAGGCGCCGCCATACGCCCCATCCGGATATGTAGCTTGGGCATGGAGAATCAACTGTGCGTTCTGATCGTACTTTTGCTTGGAAAACACCATCAAAGAGCGGATCGGGTATGGGGTTGTATCACATTGCCCACTGCCATCACAGATGTTCCACAGTCTATGCATAGCCCCCAGTCGTTTGCCAGAGTCGCCAGCCCCAACCTCGCCATCTGTTAAGGAAGTCAGTGAGAAGCAAACTGTATCGTGAGCCATGGAGACTTACAGTTGATCATGTTCTTTCCAATGGTGATCTTGGTAGTATGGGGTCCCGCGGCTCTCTTCGCAACTCCAGTCAATTCATGGGTGGTGTTAAGGCGGATCTCTGTCGAAGTCCCAGTGTCTTCGATATAGCAATTGGGAGCCGACAGACACATCGAGATATCTTCATCGCTCCATGGCCCTTTGTTGGTACTATCATGTGTCAGCATATGTCTGTATAAACTCATAAGTGTTGGAGATGAGAGTACCCAAGAGGGCTGGCCGCGGCCAAGGCAGCCAACACTGTAATAATTGAGGCAATTTGAATCATCTTGAAAAAGACTAAAATCACAAGTTGTTTGGAGCCCGGGGTATTTCAAATTCAATTGAAGAATGTGACTGAAGGCGGTAGTGGCAGTGCTTTATCCAGGCTTTAGTTGTGTGTTGCTGATATCCATGGACAGAATTAAGGAGAGAGCAACTGCACTTTATATAGTTTTCTGCAGAGTAATTGAAAAGACTTTCTTATTTAGGGAGAAGCCAGCTCCGGGTATACACGTGAAGGTATTTTCTTCTGATTGCGTAGACACGATTCGTAATAGGATGCACTTTGAGGCCATCATAGCCTTCATTATAGGGGCTGGAAAGGGGGCCAGATGCAATGAGCCAATTGAGGATCGACGAAGTTGTCTTTGATTGCCAGATACGGCAGCTAGATAACCGCTTCAGCCTAGAGATTCTTAGGCTGAGCAGGGATATGTGAGGCTGAAGTACCCTGCAATGTAAATAATGTAGTATTCGGTGAGATTGAATAGCCTTTCAAAATTAGCTCATGTTCACCATAGGGCCTCGTTCACCCGCAGTCCGAACAATGCGCACAGTTTGCTCCAAAGTAATGATATTGTCGGTTGTAGTTCATGTAAGTGCTGACGTTGTAGTCTATATACGCGCCATCAACTTCGTTAGTCTTGTATAAGTTGCGACTCGCGATGGCGGGTTGCCGGTTATTCGGGCAATTCGATACTGCGCCTCTCCTAGACACTCTTGGCCAGATTGAAGATGAAGAATATTGGAAACCCTAGTCAGTACTATATTATAATTTAATGCAGATTTTAGGGCTCACAGCACAGCAACATATACAGCTTAACGATGTTGGGACGGGAGGCAATCATGATGACCGTAATTCTGATCAAGCCACATCTAGACAACCGAAACATACCATAACAACTCTCATACTGTCGAAGAAACACTGGAAATAGTTTTCCATCAAATATACAGTAACGTAGAAAACTACATAGCTTAGGAGAGAAAGTAGGGGATTGTGTTCTACGGCCAAAATGTCGATTGTAGGTAGTGTATAAATTTTTGTCATTACAATGGCTTTTGCGCATATACAACGGTTCTGAAATATGACAATCAGCTTCGCTTCAAGTTCAAAGCTTGCATAAACTTACGTTGTAACGTATGAGCAGTTCGACGTTCGTTCAACTTCCTTGCGCACTTTTGAAACTAACACTGTTACTTCATCAACCGACCACCCCATCACTTGCGTGCCTATATACATCGCTAAGCCGTCGAGACTTTGAAGAAGAGCGGCTTGAATAAAAATTCCAAGCTGCTTTAGTCTTGGATCCTTTGGCCACCCACCGCAAGGCATTTTGATTTTCTTTTCAACAACATCTGTAAATCCAGCTGGTTCCAGGAGATCTTTCATCCTGTGCCCTCGAGAAATGTCAAAGGGGCGACCCATTTTCTCGCCTGCTTGGACAAAAAGCTCTGCCCAAGTGTCGAGGAAAGACTGTTCCTCGAAATTGACGTGGTCGGATTCGAGTTTCGTATCCATTTCAAGATGCTGAACCCAGCCCCCAGGCTTCAGATGACAAAAACTCTGCTCATAAAGCTTGGCCCAGTCGGTGACGCAGCCGTATAATACACGTAGATGGATGAAATCAAAATGACTGTCGGACCAGGTCCAATTCAAGTTCATATCCTCAATCACGAAACTCAGGTTTTCTGGGACCCAGGCTGGCTGGATAGGACTGATATCGGTACCGATCACTTCACTTTCGGGATACGCATCCGCGAAATCAATTGCCCATATGCCTGTGCCTGTGCCAATGTCCAAGACTCTGACTGGTTTTTTGTCTATGGGGGCAACAAACAGCTTATTTTCTAGCAGCATAGTCAACCCATTGTGAAGGATATCGAGTCCTTCATTCTGTTGCTTGTCGTTGGGGGCCCAGTATTCAGCTGTCTTCGAGTTTTGATAGGTACGCCCCTGTACGGTACGATAATTGAGGATGCTGTCAGTGATGGAGGTACTGGATGACGGGCCTGTCTCAACAGTTGCCATATCAGCATCATCGAACTCCTCGTCTAGAGACGCCGTCAAGGACGGTAGATTTTGCGCGTCCTCATTTCCGGTTATCTCCTGTGTAGGTACAATTGTAGCGGGTTCCATGTCTAGCTCTGTCATCTAGTTTTAGATTCAACTGGAGAACTGACTGTCATGAACATTTTCGAGGTCTATGTGCGGAGAAATATCACTTATCAAGCGACACGCTGGCGGGTAGGGTTGCAGTGGGGGTTTGTGACAGATCGGGAAGCTGTCAGGGTTGTGTGCTGCATCACATAGCAAGATATCAATTACTTCAAACCAAGACTGATAGGACGGCGCAAATGGCGAAGAAATATTTGCTCAACTGTGATAGATATTCTATTGCTGTTAGCTACAATGATCTGAGGGGGCATGTTTTCATGTAGCGGCGTAGTGACCCCTGAGCTCCTTCCTGTCTCCTTAAACGGAAGGAACGTCAACCACTCGGTTTCCAACTCAGGTAAAGCAGGTGCTAGCTGTTTTGATTTGCGGCATCTGGTATGAGACCAACATCTACTCTACCTATCAGCAAATCCTTGGGTTTCATCTAAAGAAATCGCTTTTCACTTTTCCACGGGCGTCGTAGCAAGGCGTAATCAAGGTCCACATCTTTCCGTTTCCTTGAGACTTTCCTCTCTTGATAGAGTGCCCACTGAATTACGTACATTCATCGCCCTGAATAAGCTTGCCCAGTTTCCTCGTTTCTTGAAACCGTCGCAATGAATCGTCGTTCGCAGAATCGTCTGCGGGCATTCGAGAAGAATAACGACAGGTATGTATCGATGTCTGCTCATTTTTGACGTCAACGCTGAACATATTATACAGCTCGACAGCGCAGGGACCCGAAATCACAGGCTTTACACCCATCAACTCGAGCGGTCCGATGGAGTTCCATTCGCTGGAGAAGAAAAGATCTATCCAGAGGAACTTAGAGGGCAGTAGCGAGGAAGTATGCAATGCACCCAAACGCGCCAGAATCAGTGGCAGTTCTAATGAAAGAGACATGTCAACTCCCAGTTCACACCTTCATGGAACACTCAAGAACGCACCGTGCTTTGGGTTTTCTACAGCCCCATCTTTATCTAGCAGTCGTCAACACGTGGGTCATGGTACCTTTGGTCAGTTAGAATCACCAACTTCGTCTCCGTTTGCGAAACTACAAAGACTGTGCGTTCCGGCCACTTTAAGAGTATCCCAGCAACCAATTGCCGATCTTCGACATATCGACAACTACTCCACCACCGCATCTGGTCGTGCCGTGTCCAGTCTTCCTATCCTGGAAGTCCCTCGCTGCCTTGATTATGACTCATATGATGTTCCGGACAGTCCACCGTTTCCTCAGCATTCGGAAATTGAGAGCCCCTCCGGTGATGTGGAGACCAGCAATAATGAGTTTCATCCTTTCTGGTGTACAATAACCGACGCGGGTCTAACGCTTGCCCACGGAACTTCTTCGCATCAACCTCCATGTATTACACCGCAAACGTCTGCTCAACAAAGCACGAACTGCATTGGAACTGATGGAGAACTGGCTTCTAACAATGAATATTTGGGTCAAGATGCTTTGAGTCTCCTTGTAGGCAGTGAGAGCTTCAAGGAACCGGTGTATGAAGATGATAGCTACTCCCTGGGTTCCTCGGATGAGGAGGAGATGGCACGACTCCTTGATAATACTACCCAAGCAACTCATGTCCAGATACCATCGTCGAGCAGCATTCAGCAAATGGCTAGAGGATCTTCCATTGAGGAATTCGACCCTTCCCTTCGACATTCATCTCTTGAAAATTGTGTGGTACAGGCGCCGGCCACAGCTGGCGAGGCAAAGGAATGTGTTGAAGAAGATCTTCTATCATCTGACATTGATTGGGATGACATTCTGCCAGTCATTGCTACCAATTCCAATGGAAAACCTTACGCGCCTCCTGACGAGAAGCTCAACCAGCTCGCAATGAACGCATCCTCTGTCCATCTCCTTGCATCCGATCCAATGCTTGAGAAAGCCGGCGAAGCGCGTGACAAAAGTGCACCGTCCCCGAAACTAGTGCCATTTACAAGGAGCCCATTTCCAAAGAAAGTTCGTGATCGGTCTCCAGTGATGGGGGTTTCAAGTTCGGCATTGGTGCGAACTTGCTTTAGAATTGGGGAGCTCTTGAACGAAGCCTCGCGATGCTCTGCTCAATCAACGAGCCCGGGGCACGCGGAACTCGATGAAAATGTCACATTTGAGTTCTTCGCTCGAGTGACATATTCTCACAGAGAGACGGGTATCTCAAAAATCCAGCATTTCCAATTCCAGGATTTATTCAAAGAAGAGCGCCCTTTCCCAACAGGTATGCTTCAGGGTTGGAAATCAGGGGGACTCGTTGACCTACAGAGCCAGGCTTTCCTTACAGACGCGGGCAGAATGAAGATGTGTCGATGCATTTGTCGAATGAAACGAGACAAGAGAACAGAAGTCGGATGGCTGGTGTTGGTGCTATCTATTCGAGAGACAAGCCAGGAAGAGATTGATTTGATTAGGGGGATCATCTGTCAGAAGTGAAAGAGATGGTAATGTCTGAATTCAGCGACACATTTCAGTCACAATAAGTATTAGAGTGAGGCTGCTTTTGTGACTGGAACTGTTCCATGTTCTCTCCAAACCTTGCAGGTCACAGA